AACTTACAAAATGTAAAAGTGGCAAAGAAATTGTGGGAGTGGCCAACCAATGACTGACATATACAATGAGAGGGAGCTTACCCCTGACTCTGCCTGGAGGGACAGGGCCCAGAGGAAGGATATCCCAGAGTCCTAGGATAGAACCAAATACAACTGTCAAAAAAGTCAATCAATGAAATGTTTCCTAATGATATTCTGCTATACTCATAGATGGGTGCCTAGCCCAAATATCATCAGAGACCAACAGCCAAAACTTAGGCAGACTTCAGAGAATCCTGTGATAAAGGGGTTAGAAGAATTGTGGGAGACATAGGGGTCAAGGACACCACAAGAAAACTCACAGAATTAACTAATCTGGGCTTATAGGGGCTCACAGAGACTGAACTGACAACCATAGATCCTGCATGGGACTGACCTAGGCCCTCTACATATAACCCACATCTGAAAAATATCTCTACTCCAGTTACCTAATTGCTTTTTTGATCTTGGATCTGATTTTACTGAAGGAGCCAGTCTCTAACACTTATATTATAAAGTGAACAACATTCTTTGCTTTGGGGCATATTTACTGAACAAAAGTATTCACAATGAGAGTGTGGCAAATGAAGATGAGTAGCATGTGACGTCTGCCCTCAAGGAGAAAGATTAAAGAAATACATAATGAACTGCACTACAAGACTTAACACAATAGTGTCTGTTGATGGTCAGAAAACAGGCACATTTCCACCGTGTGTGTGTGTGTGTATGTGTGTGTGTGTGCGCGCGCACGCATGCGTGTGCACAGGCATATGCTTTGGAGGTGGGAGAAGGACCCTTGAAAAGTATGTGAGCTGGTTTGTAAGAAGTGGCAGGATGAGGGTACATGAAGATGGTAATTAAAGATAACCTTGGAAAACAGAGAAGTGGAACAAGAAGGGCTTGGAAGTGAGCAAACAAGCTGTAAGGATTCACAGTGAGCTCATGGGTAGGGTTTATTAGAAGATTGCTAGGAAATGAAAGTGGAATACTAGAAAATTGCTGTATTGATGAGGCAATTAATGTTAGGCTACCCTATTTGAAGTATTTGATAGTCATTCAAGGTGTATTAGTCTAATACTAGAAACCCAGATACATAAACACAAGATATTAAGGGTAAGGGAAGGAGAAAATGGAAGGGGAAAGACTCAGAAAGGTCCCTGTCACATAGGCAGGTTACAAAATGCCTACCAGCACCACCAACAAGAAAATTCAGATTAACATAGAAAGAGAACATTCTACAAATAAACTGTTGAAAAGGAGAAGGCCTACCCCTATAGGCTTAATGCATAACTCTAGACGTCAAGGGTTTTCTATAGGAATATTGTTGAAATAGAAAGAAAAGAATTAATTTTTTTCATTATGGCAAGCATACAACTGTTCAGTTAACTAAAATGATCAAACTAATTCCTCATAGTTGTTAAATGGTGAACAAAAGACAAAGAGTCATAGCAAACCCCTGCAAAAAAAGCAAAATCCTAAGCACTGGTTCTTTGTTAGCTGTTTGTTAATAGACTCATCTTTAGAATTTTAACAACAGCCCACACTAAGTACCTATTATGAAAGTAAAAACAAATATGCAACTGGTATGTAATCTTTGAGAGTCATATAGAATTACAAGAAAATCATAGTAGACTAATTAGGTTTGGTTGAATTTAGGTGGATAACTCAGTATCCAAATATTCTATGTGCTAATTTTGGGCATTAATTATAATATCTCAATTATTTAGAAGTACTTAAATAAATCCACTCTCAAGAAGTTAAATAAGGGGTCATATACAAATATGCTATAATACATTTAAGATTTGTCTGTTAGACAAATCAAGAGTCCTTTAAATCTAACCACATCCTCAAAACAAACAATGAGACTTGAAAGATACATTGAACAATAACACTGATAAGTACAGCAGGAAGAAGTAAACTGAACTAGATCAATATGTTGACAAGAATAAGAAGGGGAAGCCAATTAATCTACTGCAGGTAAAAATAAAGTCCTTCAAGGTTTATTTAGAGAAGCATCTAAATTTTCTCACACTGACATGTTTCAAAGTAGTAGCCATCACTATTTTTATCATGGTGAATATGAGTCACCAATAAAGGACCATATCATGTTCAGGATAATGTTCTTAATGACAATACATTTATACAATCCAATTTAGAACTTTTTGCACAAAATGTGTGACACTTTATAAGTTGCTTTGTTGTTGTTATTGGTGTTTTTAGACCGGGCTTCTCTATGTAGCCTGGGCTGTCCTGGAACTTTATATGTAGCCTAGTCTGGCCTCTAACTCAGAAACATGCCTGCCTCTGCCCCCAAGTGCTGAGGTTAAAGGCATGCAACACCATACCTCACTATCAACACCAGTTCTGGCTACTCTAAACACAGAATTAAATAGGGATGATACTTTTGTTTATATTCCTTCCATATACATATATTGTTGGTTTTGGAGATGGTGAAGCCTTTGCTGAAATATTTACATTGTAGAAAAACAGTATTTTTCAGTTATTTTAAAAACAATAACCTATTTATAGATTGGGATTTACATGACTGGTGTACCTACAATTTAAAATTTCTTGTTATACCTAATCAGTTTGTCATAAACTTATTCAAGAGTTCAGGGATTTTAAAACTACCTTGAAGTTGTAGAATGGAGCTCATAAACCCAAAATGTCAAAAAAATATGAGAGAAAAAATGTTACTAAAGTCTTTAATGTCTCAAAGCTGGTTCCTAAGGACACGATGGGTATGATGACTACCCAAGACTTCAAAAATTATCATTGTAATGCAGGAGGCATAAAATAAAATACCAGAAAACAGGCAAATTTCCCTGGAATAAGTCCAGATTATATGCCAGGAATTGATTTGAATAACAAAAAAGACAAGATGTAATGGATATCTAAAAAGTCAATATTCTTTAAAAGCAAAATAAGCATAGTTCATCATCAGCGACTAACTACTTCAATAAGGGTTTATAAAAGCTAAATTTTAGGTCAGATATTCAGATGACTTTTGTCTAAAGATTTTATGTTGCATAAAGAAAAATGAGATAAAGAGGATTTGTCTAATATTTTCTCCCACAAAGGAAGGTAAATAGCTGCTGAATTTCCTTTGAAGGAGTTTTAAATGTGTAATCTTTAAAAAAAAAAAACTCCTTATGAAAGGGCAGATGATAATAACACTAACAATTCTGTCAAATTTCTTTAATTTACGGTATTTTAGCAATGATATTTCTACACTAGGGAAAATAGCTTGCCTAAAGAAATCAAATATAAAATTTCAATGGTTTAATTTGGCAAAATTAAATACACAATAGTGTTGTGTTATCAAAACACTATTATATGATGGCTATTTCTCTTGTAACTAATGTCTCAGTTATGTCAACAAAGTATTTATGTAGTCTTAGTACTTACACACACTACCACAACAACATTTCTTTTTGGATTTGTGGGTCTTGTCTATACTGATTATTTTTCTATCCCAGATGGAAGAACTATTTACCTTTACTTGTGGGGGGGGGAAGGCAAATGGCAGCCATATTTATAGATAACTAAATCTGAGGTACAGTTCTGAACACATAGATTTATGACACAGTGGTTGCTTTACTTGCTTTACTGTCCATCAACATAGACAGTATAATATGCATTCTATTTGACAGCTGTAGTTTAGACTCTAATAGTGATTAACTGTCCTAGTAAGACACATAATATATTTAATCAAAATGTCACATTTCATAGATACCATGAAATCATTCAGCTATACTTCTTTCTAACCTACAAATAGCATCCAAAACAAATCAGGGAAGTGGAATTTCAGTAACGAGTATGTTCTTGGTTCTTTTACAACATGTATTTCAGGGATGATTTCAGTGGTGAAATTAGCTCTTACATGTTAATTTGCTCTAAAAATGATAGCATAGAATTTCAGCTTAAACACATTATTCTTAAGAGGGATGGGTCAGTATTAAGCTTACATGGCCCTTTGTACAGCTACTGACTTGAGTATTGCTTGTCATTTTCAACTAACTAGAGGATTTAGAGAAATATCATTGCTAGAATTTTGTCACATGTCTCAGACATATTTTTCATATAAGACATTGTGATACTATCTAAAAGGGTAAAAAAACAATGAGATTTCAGGGGATTTACAAGTCACATAACAAGTATATACCAAAAGATTAATTTTTATTTTATATACATAGGTGTTTTTGCCTGCATGTATATCTGTGTACCACATGTAAGCCTGGTGCTGAAAGATGCCAGAAGAGGTTAACAGATCCCCTGGATCTAGAGTTATTGGGTTATGAGCCACCATGCTGTGCTGGGAATCAATTCCAGGTCCTCTGGAAGACCAGCCTGTACTCTTAACTGCTAAGCCACCTTTCTAGTCTAGATATTGTTAAAAGTCTACATGTAGGAAAGTATGGTCTAAGACCTTAGTTGTGACCAAGCTAGTAGAGAATGTAGAGGCCTATATCTTATAAGCCTTTAACAAATGTATACTACAAATATTTACTAAGATACAATCTAATAATCATTAAAGCCAAATTGATCAGCAAAATTGTGGATACCGTTTTTTCTCTTTGCACACTGAAACGATTCAGTAGATGCAACTTAGTGTTCATACATCACAGGATCTAAAATGAAAAAAAACATTTTCTGAGATTCATTTAAGCAAGTGCTGACTGATATCTTAAAGTTAACTAGCCAAGGAATCCTCTTCAAATGAAAGCTATAGGAAGAAATAAAGAGAGAAAAAATATAAAGTGGGGATATTCTGTCTGAGCCCGGAAATAATCTCTCTTAATCTTCACATAGAAGACTTTACTCTCTGGATTAGTTACATTGGCTATTAAATATTTATCCGACAATTGCTGGACTGTGGTACAGATGAACCTCAGCTATGACTCCACTTTCTTCCAATAGTCCCTGATCAGCTGCAACTTCTTTTAGGAGGTGTAGGTCTTCTGCATGATGCTAAAGTTTACCCTCCAGGTGTACCTGCAGCCCCCGAACACGTTCCTGTAGGCCACTGACAGCAGATTGCACTTCTCGTTGGACAGCTCGGCATCCTGCTCCATCATGGCTTTCATGCAAGTGCAATGTCTTCGTAGTGCTCGGCCTGCTTGGCCAACTTGGCTTCTATATCAGCTAGGTTTTCTCCATGGTGAAGGAGGGTGAGGGATGAGCCATATCTGGATTCCTCTTTCTAGTCTCCTTGGCCATGATGCGAGTCTGAAAATGCTAATTTTCTACTAGAAGTTTACATATACTCATACATTGTTGCTTTTATTTAAGGTGCTTTCCCCTGTGGAATGTTCAGAACAAAGCTTGTGAAGTGAAATGTCTTGACATCTGCTATGATCTTTGACAAATGCTGCCAACCTATGAATTACTGCAGGCACAGGCAACTGTTGATTTTTATTTGTGGCACTTCACTATCCGAACCACTTGTGTGATTTTGTTGTCAGCAAAAATGGTAGGGGACAGTGCGCTGTTTCACTTTGAATATATCCCTATTCCCCTATGATATTAGAAAATCACTACAATCCTGAAAATATAATTCCCCCAAACTTTTCTCAGCAACGGATGGTTCCTATGATGTAATTAATTTTATACATTATTAATACTTAGAATATTCAGAGATTATCAGAAGAAATGAAAACTTATGATGAAATAAGACCCAGTTTCTGCATTTTGGCTCTCTAATATGTAAACGGTTATAGGCTATTCACTATACATGATATTTTCTAAATCAGTTTCAGTTTATATATAAGTATATAAAAGGTAATGATTATCCTTATTTTATAATAAGAGTTTTCTTACAACATAAGATAAATAAATGGCAGAGGAAACATCTGCAAATTACAACGTGCTGAAAATACTTATTTATATAAAAATAACCACAAATTCTTGAGTCTTAAATACTATGTCCTTAAATACTTTATAAAGTATAAAAATGGAGTAAAAGCAATTTCAATAATAAAGACTATAAACACTGACTATAGTCAAATAACAAATTAAATATACACATCGTTTCCTTTACCTGCCCTCGCATTTTATTGTGATAAGTTCTCATGTTACAGGCTGGTTTCAGACTTGCTATATATTCAAGTTTAACCCAGAATACCTGGTCTCACTGCCTTCATTTCCCAAGTGTTAGAAGTACCTATATATACCAACTATTCACTCAATGCTAGGGACTAAATCCAGGGCTTTGTACGTGCTAGGTAAGCACTCTACAACTGTACTATATAGTCCCTGCTCTTCCTTTTAAAGATTTAAGCTTTATGGTCATTCATGTCCCATTAATAAAAGTTTAATATATTTATGAAATATTGATTTGTTCTTATTAAAGTCTAATAAAATAAATTAAATTCAGTTTTAATTTCTCACACAAATGTGGTGACTTGTGTCCTGTTGTATGACATATTGTTATTTTGTGAGAATTTACCAAAAATAGTGAAAATTTCATTATATAACACCAAAAATGAAAATATAAGCACACATAGTAACATCTTTTTTTCACTAAAAATATCAGCAATTAACCAATATCATCAAGCATACCTAAGAAAAGATTCAAGAAAAAAAGAATGTCTCTTTGACATTTACCAGAGTGCTTTAAAAATGGCCACTACTAGCAATCAAAAAGCAGGTATTGCAAGCTTCCTGTATTTGTAAAAACAGCATTATGTGAAACATTTCCTGTTTTCAATCTCTAGGTTGGAAATATGCCCATCTTTGCGGACTATATTACTTATGCCCTGTTATGTTACTTGCCTGGGCATTGAATTATTATTTGTTTCACCATCTTTTAAAGGAGGCACCTAACAATCTCTTTGTTGGCAATTGCTGATCAGTATGAAAATAAAAGAAGAAACAAAATGGAATAGGTTCCTTGACTTAGCCCAGCTCTTTTTTCATATGGTAACAATGGAGGCCAACATCTAGGGGATTCTGTAAATTTGTCTGTGTCTTTGTGGATTGGGTGAGGACCAAGCAATATTTGACACTGAAAGTTTCCACTGGCACCTGATTTTACGATACATCAAGTATGGATTAATCCTATGAATATGTCTTAATGTATTTATAAATTTTACTCATTTAAAAATTGTAAAATGTTAGAGATTGGCACCTTCTATAAAAGTCTGGAAAGAACCAGTATCTCTAAGACAAATCAGGTTCCAAAGGATGCTCCAGAGCACATAGAAGCCAGAAGATACAGAAAGCATTCCTATGAGTGATTTATGCATTGGTGGCTGCCTGTAAAGATACATATTATGGTGGAGCCAGTAACTTAAGGCAGAACTCTTAGTAAACTATACAACTCTACTACAAGTTCTGTTGCTTTCAAAAGCATCTGATGAAATAACATCATTTTACCCATTACAAGAACCAATAAAGATACATTTATTCAATTAAGGTAGCAATGGTAGCAATAACCTGTTATCACTCATGTATGCTATTAGACTTTACAGTTCTATACACTCACTTATATTGTCATAGGATGCATTAATTCTACCTCAGAGATGAAAAAACTCTGATGTAGGGAAACTGAGATTTAACTGAAGTAGTGGTGATGGAACTTGAATTAAAGCCTTTAAAATTTGCATTCATATGTTTCTTAGCATAGTACTCCATACTCTTCATAGTACATTCCTTTTGTGTGTGTGTGTGTGTGTGTGTGTGTGTGTGTGTGTGTGTGTGTGTGTGTGTGTGTTAGGGGGAGGAGAGGTTCCAAGACAGGGTTTCTGTGGGAAGCCCTGGTTGTCCTGGAATTCACTTTGTAGAGCACAATGGCTTCAAACTCATTGATCCTCCTCCCTGCCTCTGCCTCTCAAGTGCTGGGATTAAAGGTGTGTGCCACCACAGCCTAGCTTAGGATGTTGTTTTTATGATTTATGTTGACTGAATTCATTGTTATGGATGGTCCATATTAGTAATGAAATGATCTTAAAACTCTCTTTTGTCCACTGACCCTAATAACTTCATGAAAAAGCAAAAATAAGCACAAACTATTCATGTAATGATTCTTAGTGTTGACTCTTTCACTTTAAATGAAACCAGAAACACTTTTATTTTTGTTATTATCTTTTAAATTTTTAAAAATATTTAGCAATTTATCTTTATCTATGTGTATATGTGTGTGCCTGAATGAATTTTTGAGTTCAATATGCACACACATGCCTACAGAGGCCACAAGGTGTTGGAAAACCTAAAACAAGTTAGAGTCAGTTTTGAGGTGCCTGGTGTTGGTATAGGGAACCAAAACCAAGTCCTTGAAGGAGCAATAAGTAAACTAAGAGCTCTTTAATTAGTGGGCCAGGTTTGTGTTATTATTAACAAAAACTAGATAATATAAAGGCATATGGGTATTTTGGAAAGATTTGTGTAGTATCAAATTTGAGATATTTCTCCCTGTACTGGGAGATGTATAGACACACACACATACACACACACACATACACACACACTCACACACACACACACCACCACCACCACCACCACCACACCAAAACCAAATATCAGAAGATAAAAAGAATCCGTGTGCAACACATAATACGTTGGTCTTTTTCTGCACAGAGTTGACCAAACCAAATTTTCCATCATCAAGAAAAAACAAAATTTAGGTGTCTACAAACATACTTCTTTTCTCAATTTTCCTGGTACACTAAATTACTGTTAAGGGAATCTAAATCATTTGAAAAAGAAAGAGAAACTTACCCCTCCCCATTTTTTCTTGTGGCTTCTGGCAGGTCCTGGATGGTGATTCTCTATACAAAATAAAGCACATACACAGTCAGATTCACAGAGGCTGAGTCACTACATCAGATAAGCTCCATTACAGCTGATGTAGTCAGTGTGAGCATTTCATTTCAATGCATTCTAATCTTGCTCTCTGACAAAAACTATTTTCTCGATCACAAATACCTAACCTCAGAGAATAGAAATTATTCTTGAAAGCATGGACTGTCTATGTCAACTTAACTATGACCTTCCTTATCTGATATTAGTTTTTGCCCTTTCCAAATAAAATTCACCCAAATTGGCCACATGCTTATCTTTTAGGAAAGCCTTATCAGCATCAGATGACAGGCACAATGCCAAAGGTTGGATGTTAATAACCAGGCTAGCATATTATTAACTTGCCTGTCTGTGCCTTTTCTTCTTTAGCAGTCTATGACAAGTGCAATACCCTTTACTGTGCAACATTTTCCTAAATGGTGTCAAACAGCAGTGCCCCTAATCAAATTTTCCTTGAGGCAAAGCAATTATTTCCAATAAACATCTTGAGTCAGGGACCATGGAATCCTGACAACAAAAGTGTAAGAGAAACAAAGGAAATATAAAACTTGCAATTGCACAGTGAAACAAAAATTCTGCTCTATAGGTGGAAAAAACATAAACACACAACATATGCAGAAGCAAATGTGTATAATTAATGCTTAAATTTCTTACCAGTATATACCATGAAGCTAGTCATTTGTTAAGCCCTTGATGTGTTACAAAGAGCTGAATGCAGGTGTGTGTGTGTGTGTGTGTGTGTGTGTGTGTGTGTGTGTGTGTGTGTGTGCGTGCGTGCATGTGTATGTGTGGTGAAAAGATATGATCTGTCAGTCCACTAAGAAATTTAATTGAAACTCAGTAGAGGAAATCAAGGACAAATTACTGAACTTGATACCTAGTTGTGTGGCACCAATTAAACCATTTTCTATTTTAAATTATTCACAAAGTATACTCTGTGTCCCCTGTATGGTGTTAAAAGTATGTGATTCAAAACAGAGACTCTCTGTTTAAAAAAATTGTAAAATTCTGACATAAGCCTATGTAAATTTCCTTTTCACCAAACTTTTCAGATACTTAAAAATGACAATGATGGGCTGGAGAGATAGCTCAATATTAAACAACACTTCTTGCTCTTACATAGGACCTAGGTTTTGGTAAGTAGAACCCACAGAATGGCTCACAACTATCCTTAACTCTAGTTTCTGAAGATCAGACTACTTCTTCTGACTTCCACAGGTACATGGAACATATACATTCATGCACATAAGATCAAATTATCTAATATTTTTAGACA